TCATTACCATGTATGTTTACAGAGGAGCAATCACTTCACAAGAAGATGAATTACTGCTGTGGAACTTTTAATCTTCAAGATGATTGTGTGCATATTCAGACTTCTCTCACTTGACTATTCATCTCAAAATCCTATCAGACTTCTTGGCTACACTATCTGAGAAACTGAGGATTAGAAATATAGTGTGCTTCTTTTTATTGCTTTGTTGGTAGCACGTGGGGGAACAGGGCATGGGAATTCTCTTTATGGAAATTGGTAAGATAGAATCCCTTAGGACTACAAATGATAATGTATTGTAAACAACAATGTGAACTGATGTATAGATAATACCTCTTCAGAAAAGATTGCAGTGTTACCTGTCTTTGTATGGTATTGATTATTTCTCTCTATCAGTGCTATACAGTTGTTGCAAAGATTATGTATCTTCCTTCCTTAATGAAAAAAGGATAGTGCACTCTTATTTCACTTCCAATAAAAATATCTAAAAAAGTTGTATTTGATCTATGTCCATAGAACAGACATAGCAGAATGCTCTCTGCCATCCATCCTTCCATGGTGTAGGTCAATTTACAGTCCCCAGAGTATTCAGAAAAACCTTTTGAAAAGGTGTAGTGTCTTCTCACATTAGATAGATGTTAACTACAGTCCAGAGGAGGGCCACGAGGATGATCAGAGAACTGGAGCACCTCCCCTCCAAAGAGAGGCTGAGGGAGCTGGGAGTGTTTAGTCTGGCAAAGAGAAAGCTCTGGGGAGACCTCGTGGCCTTCCAGTACCTAACGGGTGCTTATAGAAAGATGGAGACTGACTTGGACAAATAGTAACAGGACAACAAATAGGACAGTTAGATGGTGATATATATATATATATTTTTTTTTTTTTTCACATGAAGTAAATCTAAATAGGACAATGAAATCTAGAAAACTGCTGATTTTTAAATCTGTAGTTACTGTATCTTTGCTTATCAGAATGAGTCAAATAGTGAATTTAGTGAAGTTGGAGGAGAAAATTTTGACAGCAGTAAACATATTTTATTTTCAGGAATTGTAATGATGTTTCAGTCATTAGTTCGAGATATGTTTCATAAATGTCTGCCAAAGGTGAAATCACTCATGATTATTAGTATGAGTTCAAATTTTAGTTTTATAAGATAAAGATTTAAAAAGATCTTGATGTTTAATTGTGCACTCTAATTATATTTGGATTCCCTCTTAATTGAAATCTTGATCTTTGCATTTAATTGTAACGATTATTTCTTTTTCCACCTTCTTTTCCTTTTCCTTTTTTCTTTTTCTTTTTTTTTTTTTTTTTTTTTTTTTTAATGATTTCTTCAAGTGTATGCATAGTTGCTTTTTGTTTTGCTTTTTAATTATAACAAATGTGGAAATTTTATTTATTTATTTTTTTTATTACGTTGTCTTTCTGACATATACAAAAAAAAAAATATTTACAGACTCGCCTTTGAATTCCATAAGTGATGACCTTGTTTAATATATTCACTGCTAAATATCCCTCTAAATTTTTATTTGTTTCTTACTTCAGCTTAGTCAAGAGTAACACCTCTGTCAGAGTCAGAAGTCATCCATGCATTATCACAAATGTGAGAAAGTGCTAAAAAAATTTCCTCATCATGCTACTGCTTTCATTCAAAGATGGAGAAATGTTCTTTCTTCTGGTTTACATGCAAAGAGCAAAAATCTCTTTAATATTTAAACTTTTGACATTACTGTGCTTTCACTGGGAAAATATGTAAAGCTTTCTGCATATATCTATTCCTTTTTGTTGGTGATCATAAATAGCTTTTGTATGATTTGACAGCTAGAATATTCCCTCCTGAATTAAGTTCAGGCCATTTGTTGGGTAGCAAGGGGAAACTCATATGACAGATGCCTACGCTGGCAAGCCTAGAAAAGTTCTAACAGCTCAGTAGTTAGACTTCAGGAATTACTCCTCTGATAACAAAAGCCTATTTCCATTCCTAGATAATTAAACAACTACTAGTCTAGTTCTAAAGTTTTTTAAACAAGGTGTGATATAAAAGCTATAGAAAAATACTTCTAATTCCGTACACGTATTTAAAACTTTCCTTAGATATATGCATTTGAAAAAATAATTCTGTAATTTCATGACCATTTCTTCAAAAATACAATACTACAAAACATAAGATGTACTTTATGACTACTTACTAATGAAAATATTACACTTTTCTGTTAATGTCTGTGCCTTCACAAATGTATTTCCAACAAAATATGAAGCCCTCATCTCAAACAAACTGTAATAATGTTTCTCTTGAAATGCCTGCAAAAATGAATATTTATATCAAATAACAAGGTATATTTAATAGAATATAATTTTGTTTGTGTCGTTAGTGGCTTTCAAGCATTTGACAGAGTTGTCCACCAACAAAATTCAAATTTTCTTTCTCAGTTAAAATGAAAATGCAAACATTTAAAAAGAAATTTGAAAGAAAAAATCAAATGCTTGCACCAAATCTTGTGTGCTTTTTTTCTCATGAATAGAAAATGATTTATGTAATGCTCATCTTTCCTACTGTCATACAATTGGATAACAAAACTAATAAATGGCCTTCTCTTTTTGGACTTGGAATTACCAATGTGTCAACCAAAACAACATTCCTGTCGCTATGGCTGCAGCACTCCCTGATTCTATTATTATCATGCTGGAGGCTGGACTGTGATTTGATACTACGAGTACCTGATAAAGGTACAGGCAGTGAGAATGGCTAGATGCCTAAGCATCTAAAACTTTAAAAAAGAGAGGAGGGTGTCCTGAGTTATGTGAGTAGTTTTGGGAAATAACAGGCTGCCTGTGAAACACAAAGAGTAACCTTCAGCAAGGGAAGGAACAAAGCCATAAGCAGATGAGGGTTGCTCATGTTAAATCACAACAAAACTGTCCGACTCCATTCTTATTTAGATACTTCAAGTGGATGGCTGGGTAGCTACGAAAAAGTCAGTGCAATTATTTGCCTAGATATGGTGTTTGACCTCTAATTTTAGATTTTAATGCTGACTATAGTTTGTCAAGACAGTGAATAGTACAGAATTTTCAAGACAGTGGGAGATCTTTAGTGTATGGAGTTTTATCTACTTAGCTTTCAGCTGATTCTTCAGTTCCCATCTTTTCTGCTATGGTAGGGATCCTGAAGACCAAAAAGTTTAATAACAATCCTTAAAATTTTGAGTAGAAATGCATTTATCTTTTGTAAGATAAAACAATATATAAAACATACAGATTTAATTTGTGAATACTAAGCACTGAAGTAACGGACATGTCATGGTATTCTGTTATGCCGCAGTGATATTTATCCATACTTGACCAAAGGATCTGCATCATTGCTTTAAGCCAGAACACCAGGTACTGCTAATAGCACATGACATATATCGTATTGCACTCAATTCACCTATATGTAGGAACTCATCTGTTCTGTGCTCAGCTTCTGACAGTATTCATATTGTGCAAATGGAAAAGGTGCTGTATAATTTTTTTTATTTATTTATTTTTTCTACAATGAATTAATGATATATTCCCCAGCAGCATGAAATCTCTAAGATTTTGGTGACTAAGCAGATTGCACCAGCCCATCCCTCATCTTTCACACTAAATCTTCTTTGAGGCACACAAAAAAACAGAATAAAGGAGAATTCATCTTCACCATGCCATACATCCAAAATGATATCAGACTATTCTTTCATCTTAAATTTCCTCTATTGTTCTACAGTACCCTATTCCTTTATTTCAAGGAGTATCTCGATTATGACAGGATGATGTTGGAATTATTTTTTTTTCAGTAGCTTCTGATACATGTTAAGTCATCCCGCATGTTGGTTCCTTTATTCCCTCTCACTATCCCATTTCTGCACCACTTTGTTCCATTTTTTTTTTTTTTTTCATTCCCTTTACCAGAAGTTCTTTGTGGACATTTATGGAAGCAAAAATACATCAATTCTTATCAGCACACTTGATGAGCTATTTCAACTATTTTTGATCTCATCAACTATTAATGAGTTCAAAAGAGCTGATGAGGTTTACTATTGCCAGAATTACAGAGCATTTGTGTATACGCAGTCAAAACCCATGCCAAAGGCTGAGTGGTGTAGGTACCCTCTAAAAGAGTAAATGAGAAATAAAAGTTCTTTGTATAGTTCTTCTGTTGCTATTTTGATTAGTGATATATCCATCAAAGAAAATACAGTAGAGATTTTGCTGTTCTGCTTTCAGACAAACATTCAGATAAAAGGCAACATGGGATCATTTTAAGACAGTCAAGTTGAAATCAAAGAGAATTTTCAACATATTGGCAATCCCTATGTCTGAGTAAAACCTAAAGCTCTGGTCCGAAGCAATCTGGAAAATGAAGTGTTTGAGACTTCACAAGAAATTGAAACTAAATGTTTCATGTTATTTGAATAGAAAAGAAGGTTTCTCTATCTTGGTAAATCAATTAGTAATTGGAGGAAACTGTCAGGTGAGGGCTTGAACTGGTGATTAAGCACCTGGTGAAAGGGTGTGACTGACCCAGGGAGTACAGGGAGCAAATTATTTGCACCTGTGCTCCACCAGAAGGGGTGGACCCTGGATGGCTCTATCCTGGGCTCATATAAGGGCTAGCCACTGAAGGGAGAGCATCTTTGGATTGCTTTAAAGGTAGAGGTTCTCTTCCCCAGTGGGGTGAGTTAGGCTCTTTCTGTAAATAATGATTGGTCTGCTGTGACTGTTTTGCTTGGTGTTGAGAAGAACCTGTCGGGAGTGTTTTTGCTTCTTTGTGAACAAAGCAGTAACACTTTTTCCCCACAAAATTGTATGTGAACAGTGTTGTGGGGTGTGTGTTGTGGGTGTTTTTTGTTTTTTTAAGTGACTCTTTCTTCTATAGTGCATTAAGAGGGAGAAAAAATAGTGGTTTTACTACATTAGCAATAGTTGCAGTTGAATAATCATGCTTAACTTCACGTGGTTTGACTTAATTTTTTTATTCCCTGCAGCACAGTAAAGTAGTGATAGGTTTGCCTTGGTCCTCCAGATTAGAAACTTTGCCATCAGGTGAGTAATACTGATGTAACTAGTAGCACATTAGAGGGTGAAGCATGTTTGTAGATTTCACTAACATACTTAGTTGTGAATTAATGGAATGAAGGTTTTAAATACTTTGCTTACTACTTGAGTCCTTTAAAAAAAAAAAAAAAAAAAAAAATGGTATGCCAGAGTTTGGCTTCTAATAGCAGAAATCATGTGTATGTGTGTGGTTCTTCTTTCTGGTTAGATTTAATCTCAGCACAGCCATGAACTTTCTGTGTTGCCTTTGTGTTGTAACAAGTGTCATTTTCTAGTTCTTAGTTGTGGCATTTTTAAGTATATACTTGTACCTAAATCTATTAAACATTCCTTTGTATTTCTCAAGATGTTTTTTTTTTATTTATTTATGGTAATTCATTGGAAATTTTAAAGACAACACAAAGAGGTGTGTTTCATATGGGATATGGGTGTTATTTCAGTCTTTATTGAAAATAGAGACTGTTATCCCTGTTAATGAATGCTGGATATAACTGATCTCAGTATCTAGTCAAAACCCCATAAGCATTGTAGCCAGTGGATATATTTGTAAAAACACATGTTGTAAAGTTAATTTTTTATATGCCAGCTTTTTGTATACTACCTTTTAAAAATTAAAACCGGTTATCCTTTGGTATTTGTCAAGCCTAGGTTTTCTCTAGAAAGGCTGTACAAATTTCAATAGCTCAGCTTGAGTCTGAGGAAAAAAGAAAAATCTAGTAACCAATAGGAAATCCAGGTTAGATCAAATGGAACAAAATATCTGCTGGACTTCGCTTTGATTTCAGTATTCATTCAGAGTAAGAAGGTGAAGTAATTGCCTCATTGAGGACACATGTGAAGCCCCAATATATTCAGGTGCTAGGAACTTGCTTCAGGTGAGTAATTAAACTGTCAAATTCCTGAATTGAGGAATAAATGCTGTAAAGAAAGTATTTCTTCATGAAGTTTAGTATTCATGCTTATATATAGAAACCAGATGCCTACTTTGCTTGCTATTCTACAAGTTTCAGCTTCCTCTTCAGGCAGTGAGGGGGCTTCACACAGCAGCATCAATCTGCGTTTGTGTGCAGCTTTGTATACTGCAGGGACTGATTTACTCTCATACCTCTGCAGTGAGGGGGAACTCTCTCTGTGTTCACAGCATGTGTGCAAGGCAACAGTTGTGATCTGGAGGTTGTGTAGTTCTAGATAGTAAGGTATACATCTTCAGGAGGAGTAGTTCTGTCAAGGAGTAAGATTCTCTTTCAATGTTTCTGTAAGAGAAATCCCAGATATGTCAAATGAAATGGGATCTTGCTACAAGGAGAAGAAGTATGCCTCATGCAAACTCAGAGGTAATATAGATCCCTGGATTTCTGTAGAGCAGCATACTTAAGAACCTTCTATATTTTAGAGGTTTTTGAACTGCAGGAAGTAAACAACAAAAATATTCCTTTCACTTTTCCAAAATGTTCACTAGTTTTGACCTGGTTAATTTTGTTAGCTTAGGCTTTATGGGCATCCGTGCTTTCATCCCCTGACTTTAATTTTACTTGGCAAGTTAGGATGTTAATATCTGTTGATTAACAGTTCATCCTCTCATCAAAACTGCAAAGCTCCCAGTTGATTTGCTAGTGCATCTCTAAAGCTGTGCCATATATAATTGCTGCACCTGTTAGAGCATTGTGGGGCTTGGCAAGGCCTTTGGATTTAGATCACTATAAAAATGAATGCATTATATTCTCTGTTTTTGTTTAGCTGATAGCCTTGATGGTCTTTTGTGTTTCGTCTGCATTCCAGTTGTCATATACTGGTATCAATTTTCTGAGGTCCAAGTGAATAATTATGGGGATGAGAGGTCTGTCATTATTAGCTAATAGATTGTTAAAGTAATGCTATTATTATACCCTTTTATGTTGAAGATGTATTTCATTTATTAATGCAGACTAATTAATCTAATTAATACACTTTTGTGAGTTTTATTATAGAAATATTTCTTTTTACATGTTGTGTGTGCAAGATTTCTATTTTCAATTGTGGAAATGTGGTTATAAAAATGCTATTGTACTGTCTCAAATTCTGTAGGAACGTTTTTGAAGTGAATTCAGATTAACCATTGTAGAACAAAACCATTGTTTGAATTAGTAAATGAGACATTGGATAGGATATGTAGGAGGGGATAAGTGAAGACTCCCCAAAAGACTTTAATTGCAACTTTAATGGCTTACTAGGCTATTAAAGTTCCCACCACGTTAGCCGTGATATCTTTCACTAGCTCCATTCAGAAGAACCTAGAATGGAGGATGGGGGGAGATCCCTGGGAGGCAGAAATTAAAATTTTACTTCCTGGCTACATGTAGTGCAGGTGACATTCCTCCATTCCTACTTGTGGAATTTTTCTATCTGTGCTCCAGCACATCATAGAATCATAGACTTTCCTGAGTTGAAAAGAACCACAATGATGATCTAGTTTCCTGCCTGCTTTGTGCAGGATCACCAGTCACTAGGCCAGGTTGCACAGAGCCACATCCAGCCTGGCCTTGAATTCCTCCAGGGGTGGAGCATCCACAACCTCCTTGGGCAACCTTTGTAGATGGGACATAAAGGTATGAGCCACCCTTGCTCTCTTCTCTAGAAGCATTGCTTGCTAGTGTCCAGAGTTTCTTGCTCCAATTGAGAAAAGAGTGGGAACAAGTTTCTACTAGCCTACAAATGCTGTTTCAAAAACTTAAGCAATTTTTTTAAAAGCCAGAAGTTATTCTAAATGGTTATTGCTGCAATCCCTGTTTACTGTTCTTGCTGTTGCTCAAGCAGTAAGGTGTGCATCATTGAATTTGAGAAGTGCGAGATTGAAAATTTTTGGCTCTCCAGTGTTTTCTAACAAACATACCACAATAGAAGTGATACGATAATTCTGAGGTTCATAGGAGGTGCATGATGTACTGAAGCAGCTTTCATTTCAAAATACAGATTTAAGGGTGTAAGGTTTCATGTTTTTTGAGGGGGTGGATTTTTAAGTCCTTTTTTCCACTGTTGAAACTGCAGGCAGTAGGATGACTTAGGCAGCCAAGCATATCAAAACATGGTGCATGGAGTGACTTCTACTATTCTTGCTATTTAAAGACCTGTTTTTACATGCTATTAGCTACTAGTGATCCCCAAGGAAAAATACAATTAAAACTTAATCATACCAAAAGCTGAGGTTCTTCTGATTCAGCGATCTTTTAATCTTTGATATTTAGTAGTTTACTTGTAAATGTCTTAGTACTAAGATTGCAGAATGTATAAATTAGCTTCTGTTTGTTGTAACACTGCTACTCCAAACTGACATTGCACATCTTGCACTGATTGTGCATCATTCTGTCTTGTCTGAACATGTAAGACTTGCAGGAGTTACATTGGCAGAATTACTTGAGGCAGAACTATGATGCCCTTCAAAAATCTGAATGTATGACCTCCCTGTACAATCTCCCATTCTCCTCAAAATACTTGTACAGTAAAGTGTGAGAAATATGAGCATCTTTTAAAGTGTCTTTGCATTCAGATGTACAGGTAACAGCTTTTGTTGGTTATCCTTTTTTAAAACTTGAAAACTAAAGAAAAGTAATTTAAGACAGATCTTTCTAAAATAATTAATTTGATTTCAGAACAGATGAAATGTTTATGTTTGAGGAAATTAGTTTTTTCTTTCTAGTCAAATAGTGAGGAAAAGATCATAACTTAAGCAGTGCAATGTTAATACTTCCATTAATCATTCCTTTTTGCTCAAAGCTTTTGTGGAAAGATGCCTTGTGTTTCTTCTGTGATGTGACTGAACTGCAGAATGCCTGTAAACAAACAAGAACTTCTCAACATCCCTGATTATAGCATTTTGGTCACAGGACATGGCTCTCCATTCCCTGTGTAAGCTTTTTCTAGCCAACCATGGAAGAAAACCTGGGGCAAACCCTACTCCTGCTATTGCTTTGATCTTGCAGTAGAATAAAAAGACATACTAGTATTATTTATTTGAAAAAGAAATATTTCAGTTCTCTTAGATGCATTCTCAAATTCTGTTGCCTCTTGTGTTAGCAGAAATAAGATTATAGCAGTCACAATATTCTAATCTGAATGTTTGAAGAAATTATTACAGAATAAGTTAATTATCTAATTGTTGCTTATGACTGCTTACATTAAGAAAATGTTAACAAATCTAGAAATTTCACTTATTGTATAAAAAAAAAGTCATTTCAAACAAAGGAAAACCTTTTTACAGTTATGTACAGTTTTTTCCTAATAGGGATATTAGGGATAATAGGCCTCATTTTTTTTATTGGCGTCATTTCTGTAAATTTTGAGTGTATTGTTTTCACTCAACTCAGGTTTCCATGTTTGATATCAATAATGAGCAAGCAAATAGCCTTCTTCAGAATCAAAACATCTTCATTAAAGTCACTTTAAGGCATAATTCTATTCATTGTCCAAGGTAGAGAAGGTCTATCTGTTCACAAAATCAGAATTCCAGGATTAAGTTTGGATTTTCTTTGTCAGGAGAGCCATGAGTTTTTTTAAAAAACTGGAATTTACTGTGATTTTCAAGGCAGTTAGAAGGGAAAAAGAGCAGTTCAAAGGAGGGAAAAAAAAAAGCTTTATTGCTATTTTTCGTAGTGAGAGTTTAGAATAGTGTCTTTACTACCACACTGTAGGAAGAAATACAATTAAAAGACTCAGAGAGAGTCTTTTACCTTTAGTAATTTTAATCAGTGATACATTTCCATAAACACATTTTTTCTGTAAACAATTTGCAAGGGAATGTATTTCATGCTGCTTTAACATGCTGAGACGAACTTTATTCAGATACATTCAGGTCTTTTAAAGCAACTGAAATAGGACCCATTCTGTGCTTGCTGGAGGGTGCCATGTCACAAAGATTATAAAACTATAAAGACTGCATTCTCCCTATGACTGGCCTTGAGACATCTGAAATTACTTATTATTAGGCAGTTTGCAAATAACCCTTTAAAATCTTTCATCTCATTAAAGCTGTAGATAGTTGGTTACCAAACAAGCTGTAGTTAGAGTTTAATTTAAATGATCCTCTCTTTTTTTTTTTCCACTGGCATGACAACATGGGTTTTTGTAATTGTTTAAGTTCAATTTGAAATAGCGTCACCACTCTGCACGGTCTAGAGTTTAACTGTGGGTATATGATCACAGATCATCACGTCAGATTTTTCTAGCAGATGTGAAAACTTGTTCTTCACTAATCGGTAGGCTCATACTCCAAAGCTAAATGAAAACTAAACGATGTTCCTGTGTACAGGAAACCCTTCTGTCAAGGTTGATCTCATTTCCATCAGTGGTATTTATAGCTATTCATCAAGGTATTTTGTAACAGAATTTCACTGAAAAGCAGTTTGATGCTAAGAAATTCTGTGACGTGAAACGTGAACTTTAAAAAAAAAAAAATCAAGGAATGATGTTCTTTCATTAAAAGTATGCTCATGTGAAAAAATTCAGCTTTTGTTAAGGTAAAAAGGGTTTTTTGTAGCATTGAAACATTCACCTCTATACCTGAGATATTGGATCTGTGGTTTCTACTGAGTAATGTCTGCTAAACCCTTCGACAAAACAGATGCACCTAAACAAATATATACACGACTAATTTTGTGTTCTCGTATTATTCAAGCTGCCTCTCTTACGATCACTGTTTCAATTCAGAAGCACCTCTTTATCAGATTACCTTTCACTTGAGTTATGCTGTTAACCTAGAAACAACTTCCTTGTCTAAGACACAGGCAAATGAAGAGAGCAAGAAGTGGATCTAAGCTGCTAAATCAATTTAGTGACTCAAAACTACTTTCATGTGCAGAGAACCACTCAGTTTCATTTTAATAATAGCATGTTTCTATTATAG